CCTGATGTTGATTTTTTTGGTTTTAAGGACATAATGTATGTTTTTAGGATCCTGATGTTTATTTTTGGCTTTTAGGTCCTTGATGTCTACATTTGATATTATAGGACCTTGATGTCATTTTTGGTTTATAAGTACCCTAATGTACATTTTTGTTTTTGATAAATCTTATGTCATCTTTGGGTTTAAGGAACCTAATGTCTATTTTAGGTATTTGGTACCCTTAAGTCTATTTTGGGTTTTTAAGACTGTGATGCTTATTTTCGGTTTTAGGACTATGATGCTTTTTTGGTTTTAGGACCCTGGTGCTTATTTTTGGTTTTAGGACCCTGATGCTTATTTTTGGTTTTAGGACCCTGATGCTTATTTTTGGTTTTAGGACCCTGGTGCTTATTTTTGGTTTTAGGACTATGATGCTTATTTTTGGTTTTAGGACACTGGTGCTTATTTTTGGTTTAAGGACACTGGTGCTTATTTTTGGTTTTAGAACACTGGTGCTTATTTTTGGTTTTAGGACCCTGATGCTTATTTCTGATGCCATCCATTTCCAATTTATAGAACCCTGATGTTTATTTTTGGTTTACATGTCTTGTCATTCTTAATGGCATTATTGCCACATCTTATATTAATATCTAATAATCTACACTACAAAACAATACATGTAAAAACTTTCAGACACTTTTATTGTCTAAAAATTTCAATATTCAAATTTCGTTCATATTGTTATTAATTAAAAGGTTCCATCAAATATCTGGTACCAGGTGAATGTGTATATGAACAATAAGTCAAGTGATCAGTAATGTGATCTAATTAATACAAAGGTGGTGTGGGGTTTACATCAATGAGACAGCAATCTGAAAACATAACAGTTTTTCTTCCCAATTGATCCATTTTTGTTGTTGTAAGTATAGCTTAAAATCTTGCAGTCACTCACATCATTTTTGGCATGGTTAAAAATATTAACTACAACAAAGAATTTATATAGTACTATATAATTCCTTGATACAAACTAAATAAATAGGTAAACATGGCCTGTTATATAAAGGGACATGTCACTGGTGTCATTGAATAGGTTAACACATGACTTAAAATCAAGAGGGAGAAGTTATTTTTTTAATTGAATAGGTTAATATGGCCTGAAATCTAGAGGGGGGAGTTGTTTGGTATAAAAGTTCAACACAACCTATTCCCATTAAATCTGGAGCAGATACAGGTCACATAAATAATTTATAATTACTTTAATACAGTAATAGTTTAATTTACATAAATAAGATATAAATTTTTTTTTTACTTTTTATCTCACAAATAAATGACATGCACTACATATCTCAGCTGTCATGTAAACTCCTGCTTGTATATATATGTCACATTAATTTACACTATTTTTAATGGTCAATGCAACTGTCTTACAACTGAGAATAAAAATATGCCAATATGAAAATATCTATTTTGTACCAATATTGAAAGATTAAACCCTTTTTGTCAGGACCATTCCATTTACAAAACAAATAAAGATATTTTTTAAATATCACATAAGACCACTGAGGAAATAAAATTGAGAATGGAAATGGGGAATGTGTCAAAGAGACAACAACCCGACCACAGAACAGATAACAGCAGAAGGCCACCAACAGGTCTTCAATGCAGCGAGAAATTCCCGCACCCGGAGGCGTCCTTCAGCTGGCCCCTAAACAAATATATATACTAGTTCAGTGATAATGAACGCCATACTAAACTCCAAATTGTACACAAGAAACTAAAATTAAAAATAATACAAGACTAACAAAGGCTAGAGGCTCCTGACTTGGGACAGGCGCAAAAATGCGGTGGGGTTAAACATGTTTATGAGATCTCAACCCTCCCCCTATACCTCTAGCCAATGTAGAAAAGTAAACGCATAACAATACGCACATTAAAATTCAGTTCAAGAGAAGTCCGAGTCTGATGTCAGAAGATGTAACCAAAGAAAATAAACAAAATGACAATAATACATAAATAACAACAGACTACTAGCAGTTAACTGACATGCCAGCTCCAGACTTCAATTAAACTGATTGAAAGATTATGTCTTCATCATATGAATATCAGGCACAATCCTTCCCGTAAGGGGTTTAGTATCATACCATCATTAATAAACTCTGCAAAAATGTGTATAATCCATATAATTTTTTAAAACCCTTACTGTGCAGGTTATTCGACAAGTAACAGGGCGTATTTGGTTTATGACCTGCAATGGGGTTCCATATTCAAAGAGGGATTGGACCTTTATGATTTCAAAGTATCTATATACTTCTGCAACAAGACTTTTAGTGTAAGTTATTTATCTATGGCATTCAGCATAATTTAATGACTGAATGAACTAAAATTTAAACCTTCAAATACGAGTTTACCTAAAAAAAAGGCATTTTGATGGGGTGGACTGACTCTTTTTGCACTGACACACGTCACTCAAGGAATTGAAAGTCCAGAAAGATTCCAAACAAATACATCTTATTTAAGTGTTTTCAGAAGATGAGGGCCATGGAATAGCTACTTCTTGTTCGAGGACCACATTAAGTCCAATATTGTAAAAAGAATTTAGCCATTTTTGACTGGAATGGTCTTCCACAGGCTCCTGTACCAAACTTTGTTAATAAAATAACTCCCCATTAAGGACCACTCTCTGCATAGAGACACAAAAACACCTTGCAGCAACCTATTGCCCAAAGCATCAATAAGTTGGTCAAGAAAGCGGGGGGAAAAAAATGTTGATCAAAGGGTACCCCAATTTGGATTTTAAGACTTTCTTGTATTGGTAAAAATTATCAATAGAATTGAGAATGGAAATGGGGAATGCGTCAAATAGACAACAACTCGAATAAAGAGCAGAAAATAATTCATTGTGCTTTATGTAGCACTTTAGAACTTATTTTTTATTTGTGAATTTGACAGAACACATTTTAACCCTGTCCCGACACACCCCACCACCCTTGTTTAGACATGTTAATGTCCCTGTCCTAAGTCAAGAATTTATTTTTCAGTGTTTGGTTTTTGTTTAATACATATATCTTAGTGTTTTTGTCCTTTGTGGAAATTAGTCAGATCTTTGATATTCAAGATGTTAAATACGATGCACAACTTTTTACACTCAGAATGATGACTATGAATAGGAAAATCTCAATAATAATTAAAAATAAAACACTGAAACTTGTCTATTTCTACTTTTACTTTCACTTTCAGTTGAGTATGAAAAGCCAAAAGCTTTAACACATACACAATTAAATAAAATATGACAAAGTTGTCCCATCAAATTAGCTACTAAAGAAGGCTGTAATGTAGGTTTAACATGAATTTGCAATTGAAATCCTCTAGAATGGGTCGGTCTTTTCACCACCGAAAACCCACCAAACACCCCAATTGACCACTAATCCCTTGGGAAACAGTAACATTTCACATTAAAACGATAAAATAGATTAAATTACGAAAAATATAATCATATGATCATTTTGTTCCTATATTTATATGCATGATAGTTGAGGATCAAAATTGACAAAGAATGATTTCAATTCAGTTTCAGCAAAAATACTTTCCCATGATTTACCATGTATAATATCTTTAAGTGTACTTTTCAATTATAAAAACTCATGTAAGTGAAAACATTTTATCTAATTTGAGATTATCACAATAATCATTTTTTTTTAAATGTTGTTATACTGAATGTGTACTGTTTCGCCAACAGCCCTTGTAAGACCAGTTGATAAGACTGTTCTTTTTGGCTCTCTGATTATTATTTCTTAATAATTTATAATATACAAAATATTCATCCTCATTCAGCATGTTCAGAAAGTAAGTCAAATACATAAATTGTATAGATGAAAACACTATAGTTAGATGTATTAGATATTATTTTAATGTGTTCGGTGGTGAAAAGACCTACCACACTATAATGCCAATTAGACCACAGGGGTTTGTTACTATTTGCCGGGTTTACTATGGGAACCCTGAAAAAATCATGTTTTCGGGGTTCTCATAGTAAACCCGTCAAATAGTAACAAACCCCTGTGATTAGACTACAAATCTCAGGTTAATCTGGGTGTTGCAGATAAATTATCAAAATCTAAAAAACAAGAGAATTAAGCGAAAATGTGTACTACAATACCATTACGCCTTCAAATCACTGCTATGATATGTTTGGAGCTTACGTTAGGAGATATATGACTAAAAAGGACCAAAAAAAATCCAAGTCAGTCCTTTACATCACTGTTGTGAAAATCCGTGGATGGTACCAGCGGGATTCAAACCCTCAATGTCGGGATCTAAAGGCAGTGCTCTAACCAATTGAGCCAAAGAAGATCTTCCCTAACTCAACTAGTTAGGCTACCTTTATATCTCCAGGTCTACAACACTCTTCCCCCTTTTCTTTTTTCGAGCAGCTCACAGGTCCGCCACTGTACAACCCAGAGTCTTCCACTCGGAAACCCTCTTGCCAGTTCCTTCCATGTCACGGTCATCCTATGACCTGTCAAACCTCATGACCATATCCAACTGCCAGGTAATACATACACTCGTATGTACCAGTGGTAGATGCTCGCAGCGCCATTTGTTGTGAAAATCCGTGGATGGTACCAGCGGGATTGGAACCCTCAATGTCGGGATCTAAAGGCAGCCCTCTAACCAATTGAGCCAAAGAAGATTCCCTAACTCAACTAGTTAGACTACCTGTATATCTCCAGGTCTACAACATCACTCATCAGTCTCCCATTGGCATTGACAACTACTGAACTAGTAATCAGCAGTTAATCCAAGAAAATAGCAACTTAAACTCGAATCCCTTTACTGCTTTAGAATTAAAGATTACTAAAATATACACACTTACCTTATCAAAACCTACCAACACTACAGACTCCGTCAGAAATATTTGTTTTGTTTTTATGTTTCATGACCACATCATATGCAATGATGAAATTGATATTCCTGCATTGAGTAAAAAATTAACTGATTCTTGTTAATCTATGGTGTCTTACCTTTTTCTGCTACGACCGCTTGGTTTTCTTCGTTTTTCACTTTCATCTTGTTTTCTTTACTGCATTGCTGAGTATCTTTCATTCTAATAAAATAAAATACTTCGATACCTGTCAATCTGCTCAACGATAAACAAGGCGGAAGTATCTGCAATTGGTTCGAAAGATCAACACGTGGTCTGGTGACTTCATTGGGGAAATTCCCATGTGAATGCCTTCAAACGCGTTCTATAAATAGAAAATGACGGCAGGTGGGATTCTCGGGGTTTTACATCAAACTGTACGGGAATTTACGATTTACAATTTTTAAATCCAATTTGAAATAAAATGGTAAAAGAAATCACAAAGATATTTTATACACATATCTCATATGATCAGGAGATTTGCAAAATCGATCTCAAACAGAATTTTAGTAAATCAACAAAAAATAATTACATTTATAAATTTGTATTTCATTTATGGTAAGTCCCGAGGATTTGTCCCAGATTCAACTCTGTTATTTAAATAGATAAATACAATTTAATTATCTGATTGGTCAATCTTCAGCTGTGATGTAAGCATGAAATAATGTATATATATATATATTGATAAACAATCAGATTTTCCCAATGATGAATGTTAAATCTTCAGAAGACAAAAGTCCTACGGTTTTTAACCAAGCTGGCTATCGTTTCACAAAAGATCGTAAATCAGACATTCAGCAATTATCTTTTTCTTATGCCTCTGGAACCTTTTCTGATGCTAAAGTAAAGAATATTTGTACTTTGTACAAGAAAAAGGCTTCAAAACAAATAATTATTTAAGTTAAGAAAATGATTTAAAATAATGTCACTCCAAATGTAAAAATTCTACTACATATTTTTAACTGACCACTCTATCAATCTAATTAAAATATTAGACCTCTGATCTCTTATGAGCCGGGATAACGAAATTAGAGGTCTAATGAGGATAACGAAATCAGAGGTCTAATGAGGATAACGAAATCAGAGGTCTAATAAGGATAACGAAATCAGAGGTCTTATAAGGATAACGAAATCAGAGGTCTTATGAAGATAACGAAATCAGAGGCCTATATTGTAAGTAGATTGACCACACTATTCAACCAATAACATTATAGATCATTATATGGTTCTGAGATAGCCCCTATTTCCCTCCAAATAAATTTGTAAATAATGTAGAAAAGTTTATTACCAAAGAGGCTGATTCACTTGTCTTAGAAAAACTTCACCGTAGATTTTGTAAATATGTATTAGGTGTAAGAGTTATATTTCTTCAGATGATGGATGTAATAATATTGGTGTCCTATAGTTAAATCTGTTGACAGGTCCAACTCTTTGCTACTTGAAGCATTTAATATGTCTAGTTCAATGGCAAAAGAAAATAAAGACTCCTGGGTTGGATGTGTGAACGCAATATTTAAATATTAAGACATGGAATTTCTATTTAAAAATCCAGAAAATTTAATCTAAATTTCAAATTTGTTAAGATATATACATTTATATATATATATGGAAACACTAATTTATTCATTGATAAAAGAGTCTTTGATCTTGGGAAACAAATTACGAACATATAAAACGTTGAACCCCAATCTTCTCATTGGTAATAGGGAACAGAGGCATTATTTTATCAAATATCAGGATTTAATAAAGGCTGTCTCATTGCCGCAATCATGCCATTATTTTATTAAATATCAGGATTTAATAAAGGCTGTCTCATTGCCGCAATCATGCCATTATTTTATTAAATATCAGGATTTAATAAAGGCTGTCTCATTGCCGCAATCATGCCATTATTTTATTAAATATCAGGATTTAATAAAGGCTGTCTCATTGCCGCAATCATGCCATTATTTTATTAAATATCAGAATTTTATAAAATATCTTGTATACGGTGTGGAGTTTAAATTTATTTACTGTTCCACCATATGATGGCATATGCTAATCGATTTGTAGGGGAACGTCTTTTCGGAAAAAATAGTTTGATTCCCAACTTTGAATTAAGAAATATAATTGTAAAATGATTCAGAAAGACAGATTGTAAAATACTTCAGGAAGACATGGATGACCCACTCTCACCCCCCCCCCCCCCCAAATAGATATAGACTACAGGAAATTGGGCAACACTTTGGGAATGATGACTTCTATGTCATATGCATGGTCTCTGGTGGAGAATTGTCAATCATACCACATCTTCTTATTTTTATATGAGATTGCAACCGACCAAATGTGATATAATTACACTTACCAGGAAGACATTGTATTGTAAAGTTTGATTACAACCTGAAAGACACCAAACTAGTATTCCTTTAATGGATCTTGGTGTTCACATCGCAACTAACCTACACAAGAGAAAACATTGAGGTAATCTGTAAAAAATAGACAGAATACTAGGATTATTAAAGCGCAATTTATCTTCATGACCGGAATTAGAATAAAAAGCATAATAAAGAGCTGCGCCATGAGCGCATGATACGTCCATCGCTTTTTCAACGAATAAAGTTCCATTACTCCTCAATATCATATCAAAAATTAAAAAAAAACTAAAGGGAGCTTATTTTAATAGATTTTAATAGATATAAACCGGTCACCAAAGTTTTTGAGTTATTGTCCAAAACTGGAAATCCCCCTTTTTTATGAATAAAATATCATAACTCGGAAAAGTCAAATCTAAAATTTATGAAAGTCGAAAGGGAGCTTACGTCAATACATATAAACAATTCACACAAAGTTTCATGAAAATTGGTTAAAGCGTTTTCGAGTTATTGTCCGACATGTTGACAACGGACGGACGGACGGACAGAAGGACAATGGTATACCATAAAACGTCCCGCAATCGGGCGTATAAAAAGGACTATGGAGACAGCCATTTGAAGAGGAAGATTTTTTGCGGATTGACTTTTCATTTTTATCTGTTGCTACGCATACTTATTTTTTCCGCTTTGCCGAGCGAAAATATAACTTCTCTTTTGTACTCTCCTGCATTTTTAGTTCCAGAAATTGTTCATTTTCATCATGTCTTATGCAAGGTAATTCATTGATTGATATCTTTTTGATTCACTCATAGGGTCTTTGCGTCGGAAATAAACACATTTATTCTAAAACCAGTTGTTGGCATGATACGGGTTATGTTCTTCTCATATATTTTTATGATGGTAAGATACTAAACCCCTAACGGGAGGGATTGTACTTGATTTTGATATGATGAAGACATAATCTTTCAATCAGTTTAATTGAGGTCTGGAGCTGGCATGTCAGTAACTGCTAGTAGTCCTTTGTTCATTTATTTATCATTGTCATTTTGCTTAGTTTCTTTTGTTACCTATTCTGACATCGGACTCGGACTTCTTTTGAACTGAATTTCTTACTGTGCGTATTGCTATGTGTTTCTTTATTCTACATTGGCTAGAGGTATAGGGGGAGGGTTGAGATATCACAAAACATGTTTAACCCCGCCGCATTTTTGCGCCTGTCCCAAGTCAGGAGCCTCTGGCCTTTGTTAGTCTTGTATGTTTTTCAAGTTAATTTTAGTTCATTTATATGTTTTGGAGTGTGACGTCCATTTTCACTGAACTAGCACACAATTTTATATAGGGGCCAGCCGAGGACCACCTCCGGGTGCGGGATTTTCTCGCTGCGTTGAAGACCCATTGGTGGTCTTCGGCTGTTGTCTGCTCTTTGGTCGGGTTGTTGTCTCTTTGACATATTCCCCATTTCCATGCTCAATTTTAATTCAGTCATCTCGAGTTTGAGTTAAAGTTCAACTCTTAACTCGAACTTGAATCCGAACTCAAACTTTAATTTGAACTGTCGATTAGACACACTCAATTGCAGTTGAGTTATACTTCTTGTTTGTGGACACGAATTGTAACTCGAAACCAATCTGGAACTCGAAGAAACTCGAACTTTGAATCGAACTTCAACTCTAACTATAACTCGATTTTAAAATCGAAATCTAAGTCAAACTTTTACTCGAACTCTAACTCGATGGTTGGTCACACACTACAAACACCATCTCTTTATCTTCCGTGAGAGGCTGACAGTGGGCCGGAGTTCCGTGAGAGGCTGACAGTGGGCCGGGGAGAACACATTTGATTTTCACGAATTGTCGGACAAACGGCAATAATGAGATTAAAAGTTTGTCGATAGAAAGAAACTATCTGTAACAAAGCATAACTTCTAATTGAAAACAAACTATAATTCAATATTCGCTGAATAAGCCTGAACACGGTATATATCAAAAACCAATATTGGAACGAATCTTATCTATGGCCCCAACTAATAACATTAGAAATAGCATCAGCCCAATAGTTGCAAAAAATGCCGAAAACCGACAAAGATGATGAGTTTCGGTTTACTATCTGAACTTGGACACCCGGAACCTAGGTAGTAAGTTTTAAATTTGACTCATTCAGGGCAGTCGTAACATTCAATTATATTGTCATTCTAGTGATTTTTGGATGTTGTGTGTAGCGATGAGATTCTTGAATAATTATGATAATAATATCAAAAAGGTAACCATGCTTATTTTCGAGGAAATGAAATTTCAGAATGTGGAATTTTACAGTAGTTCAAGAAAAAGCACGATAATATTTGGAAATATATGTCTCAAGGACATCATGCTCCGCTCGCACTATTTTATGTCCATGTTCAGTGAATCGTGAAAAATCATAATTAACCTGTATCAAGTCAGGAATATGACAGTTGTTCTCCATTCGTTTGATGTGTTTGAACTTTTGATTTTGCCATTTGATAAGGGACTTTCCGTTTTGAATTTTCCTTGCAGTTCGGTATTTTTGTTATTTTACTTGTCTATTATTTCAAGTTCCCCTAGTGTGTTCGCCTCGAGTGCGGGAGGTCGTGGGTTCGAACCCCGGCTTGGTCAAACCAAAGACTGTAAAATTGGTATTTGCTGCTTTTCCGCTAAGCACGCGACATTACGGAGTAAGAGCAAAGACTGGTCGGCTCGGAGTCAGAATAATGTGTCCGGGTAAGGCGACATGTCTTCCTGCGGACTGCTACCTTGTGTTGAACTATGTTGAACGAATCTATCCCATCGAACTAGAGATAACGGATACTACAGATACAGTTAAGTCTGCTTCATATCTTGACTTACATCTAGAAATTGACAATGAGGGTCGGTTGAAAATAAAACTTTACGACAA